TCTGTGTGGGACCTGTAGTGCAAGATGATTTGTTAAGCATTTTACTACGTTTTCGTAAACACAAGTATGTCATGAAGGCTGATATCACAAAGATGTACAGACAAGTAATGGTAAATCCAGGACAACGTCATCTACAGCGTATCCTATGGCGTCCTAGTCCTGAACAAAACATTTCTCATTATAATTTGAATACTGTTACCTATGGCACATCATCCGCTTCATTCCTTGCAATAAGAGCTCTACGTCAAGCAGGCATTGATAATCAAGACAAATTCCCCGAAGCAAGTCAAACCATTTTATCAGACTTTTATTGTGATGATTTAATATCAGGTTGTGATACACATGAAAGACTCCTAAAAATAAAGACAGACATTTCTGAAATTTTACAATCAGCAGGTTTTGTTTTAACTCAATGGATGTTTAATGAAAAGGAGTCCCATCAGCAAAATTTTCATTTTTCAGACTCAAATCAAAATGTAAACTCAGACGTAGCAGTCCGAGCACTTGGCATTATTTGGAATCCGAACAAAGACACTTTTCAATATTCATTTAATATAAAATTAAATTCTCAATTAACCAAAAGAACAGTGCTTTCAATCATTAGTCAAATATTTGACCCACTAGGACTCATAGGTCCAATTCTCATTAATGCAAAGATTATTCTCCAACAATTATGGAAATTGCAATTAGACTGGGATGACATAATTTCTGAATCTCATCATACCAATTTCATGAGTTTTTTCCAGGATTTAAAGTCTATAGATGAAATATCAGTTCCTAGGCATGCAGTTCTCTCAAACTACATCACGTTGCAATTGCATGGATTTACTGATGCTTCAATGGCAGCTTATGGAATATGCATTTACCTTAGAACTATAGATTCCTTTAGTAAAGTATATTGTCAATTGCTATGTTCCAAGTCACGCGTAGCTCCTATCAAGACAGTTTCATTACCAAGATTAGAACTTTGTGGGGCTGTGCTCTTATCTGAATTTGTCAATAATGCTATTAAATCACTAAAATTAAACATAGATTCAAACAGTGTCTTTCTATGGACAGATTCACAAATTGTCCTATCATGGATATCTCAAGAACCATATAAATTGAAAGTATTTGTGTCAAACCGTGTATCAAAAATACAATCTTTAACAGAAATAGATTGTTGGCGATATGTGTCAACTTTGCACAATCCAGCTGACATCATATCACGAGGTTGCAAACCTAGTGAGCTTATTCAATTAGTTTCTTGGTGGTCCGGTCCATATTGGCTTTCACTTGATCAAAAACATTGGCCTAATGATAGTACAACATACAAAACTGATTTAGAGGTTAGCTCTGAGAAGCTTTATAATGCAACGTTAGTCTCCATTTATGCTGAAAATTTTCATTTATTTTCTTATTTCTCAGATTTTAAAAGGCTTATTCGAGTCACAAGTTATTGTAGAAGATTCTTTATTAATTTGAAATTAAAGAAACAACAGTGTCCAATTTTAACAGGATCACTGACTATTGCAGAATTAGATCAAGCTACTAATGCTCTTATAATACATGTTCAGGAAATTTCCTTTCACCAGGAGTATCAATGTATAAAGAATGAAAAAACTGTATCTAGACAGAGTAAATTAATTTCTTTAAATCCTTTTCTCAAAGATGGCATCATAAGAGTAGGATGCCGTCTTAAAAATTCTCAATTAACTTTTGATCATAAATTCCCAATAATACTACCACATAACCACCGTTTTACTGAATTGTTGATTAAAAATGAACATGAAAGCTTATTACATGGCGGAACACAAATTACCTTATCCTCCATCCGTATAAAATACTGGCCATTGAATTGTAAAAATGCAATCAAGAAGGTTATCAGACAATGTTTCATATGTTTTAAATTGAGATCAAAGACATCCACAGACAATCCACTAATGGGTGATTTACCTTCGTGTCGTGTGAAACCTTCACGACCATTTCTTTGCACTGGTGTCGATTTTGCTGGTCCTATCCTAGTGAAGGACGGAACTTTACGGTCAAGAAAATTAGTTAAGTCCTACATTTGTGTTTTTGTTTGCTGTGCCACAAAGTGCATACATTTAGAATTGGTAGGAGATTTATCTAGAGATATGTTTTTAAACGCCTTTAAAAGATTCGTTTCTAGGCGTGGTCTCTGTAAGAACTTGTATTCTGATAATGGAACCAACTTTGTTGGCGCCAATAACCATCTTAAGGAAATGTACGAAAGAATTTACACCTTCAACAATGATGAGTTAGTTAAAAATTACTTTTTAGAAAATCGCATTACATGGCATTTTATACCCCCACGTGCGCCGAATTTTGGAGGTATGTGGGAGTCATCTGTAAAATCAGTAAAACACCATTTAGTCAGAACTATCAAAGATCATCATTTAACTTATGAACATTTGTATACAATTTTAACTCAGATTGAGTCTATTCTAAATTCTAGACCCTTATGTCCTGTTTCCAACGATCCCAATGATCTTGAAATCCTGACACCTGGACATTTCTTAATCGGATCATCATTAAAATCATTGCCTGATGAAAACTACGATGATGTCAGTACTAATCGTTTAACAAAGTACCAGGAAATTCAGAAAATGTTATCACACTTTTGGAAACGATGGTCGCATGAGTACCTGCACAATCTCCAGCAAAGAACAAAATGGATGATAAAGGATCCTCAGTTGATAAAGATTGGTTTGATGGTACTTGTTAAAGAAGATAATGTGCCCCCCTTATGTTGGAAATTGGGTAGAATCTGTGAAACCTTTCCCGGAGATGACAATGAAATTCGTGTCGTAGGCATAAAAACTGCTAGTGGTTATGTCAAGCGCCCAGTGAGTAAAATTGGTGTCTTGCCTTTTGAGCAATAGCTCCAATTTGAGCCTCGGATATACATTTAAAGACATGTACATAGTTGTTTTACTTTGAAACTTGGTAGTTTCAAGGGCGCCGGTATGTTTCGGTTTGGTAGAGTTCATGATATTCATTGTAATTATTGACATTGTGCGTTTTGATATTTGAATTACGCGCGATCTAACGTTCATTATCCGCGTTCTGACAGCCAGCTGTGCGCGTTTGGACTTCCTGCCGCGCGCGCACAACCTCTCGAAGTTCAATCCTACACAACGACAACGAGGAACGAGTCGATTCGCCGCCATCATAGAATAAGCAATGCCGACCATGCCGTGCCGAATTCTATGAACACTCTATGGTTCAAGTAAGTTCGGTTACGTTAAGATTCACATTCACAATTTTATTGCGCATTCAGTTGACCAGCTCAGAGGTCATTTTACTAGTATACAGTCCGCTATCTGTTCAGTAGTGTTCATTTTATTTTCGAAAGTACCATTTTGAACCAGCAAATCCAACATTTGGTCAAAACGCACAATGTCAATAATTACAATGAATATCATGAACTCTACCAAACCGAAACAGGATTTTTTTCACTTTTCCTCATTGAACATTTTGAAAACCTTAAAATTGAATTACCATGTAGTACCCTAACTACTCCAAGTACCCCAGAACTACATCTCAAAAAACAAAAACAAAAAACATACTACTGCTACTCTGTGAAATGTAAAGTTCATCTCTACTATACCAATTCAACTGATGAGTGTACGCGGTAGCTTATGCCACTTTGAGAATTTTATTACAAATTCAAAGTGCTTTAGGCACATTTAAAGAGCTTCAAGCACATTTAAAAAACTTCAAGCACATTTAAAGGGCTTCAAAGCACTTTTGAAGGCTCCCCAAGCACTTTTGATGTGCTTCAAGCACTTTTCAAATCACTTTGAGGGCTTTGTGCTTGTGAAGCACTTCTGAAAATAAAAAGGACTTGTGCTTGAAATTGAAAGCACTTTGATAAAGGGCTTAGGGCTTAGTGCTTCAAGCCCTTTTACTGAGGTCTTTGCCCAGATCTGCTATTGGCGTTCTAATGTAAGGAGCCACCAGCTCACATTCTTTGGAGTATCAGATTAAAATCGACGGACTTTAATAAACCGTAGATACATAATAAATACATACATAGTAAAGTCAAGATTTCTTCACCAACGGGTAGCAAGTTATCGCTCACACATTTAACGAAAAAATTGCATTTCTACGTAAGCTTTTACCCACGAAAAACTCAACCTGAGCGCAGCAAAAATTTAACCTTGTCGGTTCGATATCGAAAAAAACTATAAAAGGTAATTTACTATAGGTCTTCTTACAAGTTACTTGTTTAGTAACTTTTTGTCGTACTTTTCCCTTATAGTAGGAGAGCCGGCAATATTAATTAAGTATTTGATCATTGCAATGGATAATTTTCACATATAAGAATAGCTCATAGTTACCTTTAAACTAAATGGATAGGTTGCCTTGATTCTCGTGGCCGCAACCTCGATGATCGCAACCTTTTGGTGGCTGGGCGTAACTACCCCTCTTTTTTCGGAGGAACAATATTATCGTTGCAATAGCTGAAAATTGGTAGATATATTCTTTAATATGTCTTTTCAAATAATATATAGGGTTGCCTCGAGTTGATGGCTGGAAATGATGGCAACCCTCATTGAAAGTCGAGCGCGTTATTTTGTTTGCTGAATATAAATTTTTGAAAGTGACAGCTTTCAAAGTCAATTTTAAAGTTAAAAGAGGATTCTGTGAAGAGGATTTTGCATACGGCTGTAGGTCTTTAGACAAAAAAAGAAACATGAAATTGTGTTAATAAAGTACTTGTCGCATATGATGAGAACCACTACACCACAAGGTACTTCTTATTTGTTGCGCTTATATGGTTCTTGAAGTATCTTTTTATAAAACAACTTTACGGCCATGAGAATTGAGGCAACCCATCCATTTGGTTTAAAGGTTACTATGAACTATTGTTTTATGTAGAAATTATCCATTGCAACGATCACATACCCGTTAATATTGCCGGCTCTTGGACTATTAGTTATAGTTCACTTATTATGATCCAATTAATATGTTTTGTGTCTTTTTTATTCCAGAATACATTCTTCTGGATATTGAGGAATCGGTACGATATGGAGAACCTGTCGAAATATTATCCTCATTTTCCAAAGACATTTCAGAAATCAACTCAATGCTTCTGGACAATGACGAAGTTATTTCCCAGGTTGCTTGGCGCCTGATTTTGTGTCTAGGTAAGAGAATTCAAGCCTAGTAAATACATAATTAAATTGTATGATTGGAACTTCATTAATATCAAATTTACCACCTTTTTTGAAAATGGTAGGATCGACCAAAGGCGTACGACGTTGCCAACTTTTATTTAATAATATGTAAGAATACTACCTATGTAAATATAATCTCGCATAAAAATTGAGACGTCAAGTTGTTTTAGTGTAGAAGCTACAAGCTGCTTTTTATTACGTGCTTATTATTTATTATTTTTATGATAATATTCTGACAACTATGTAGTCGAAAACTGGACCTTCTTGGAACTTATTTCTGCTTTCTGATTTTTCACTCGCTATTGGAATTTAAGAATAATTATTCGTTTTAGGTTACCAGAAACCGTCGGTATTGGTCCAATCTGTCACGCACATTCTCAATAACGCCACGACCGCCGACCAATTAGGCGTAATTTTTCAAATACTAACCAGCGAATTAATTAACAAATCGCTACCGTCTTACCGAGAAGCTCGCACTGGTATTTTCACCGAAGTCCTCAAACAAATCCTCCAGCGGCACATCCAGATTTACACCCAATCCAACGAAGAAACGTTAGACCTGACGCAGATGTGGACCAATTTGCTGTGCCTGCTCGAATGGGAAAAAGGCGAAAAAGTGCCGCATCTGCGATGTCCGTTGATTACCAGAGCACTGGAAGAGAATTTTGTCAGTTTGACGTCGGTGTTTGCCAGCGAAGTGCATCACATGCACGTGATTGCTGAAATTTTGGATAAAACTGAAATTCCTACAAGCGGTACCAGTTTTAATCCGCCAATCGAGGCCATATTGAATTTGACCCAGGGGGCTGTGAATTATTTTTTTGCTTGTTGTGCTGATGATGGTAAGTCCATCTGTTTTTTTTTTTCGAAAATTGTAGATAAATGAGTCATATATCACTAGTACCTAGTAGGGAGATCACTGAGACAATAATTCCTCTTCCATCTATAGGTCTGTTTTCACAGAAATCATAAATCAATCAAAAACGTTCTGATTGGTTTGTGAACAGACCTTATCTCTTTTATTTTCCCTCCTCTCTCATCCATACCCATTACTCTTTCTCTCCTACCAACAGAGAGAGGTTTGGGTATGTATGAGAGTGGGGGTTTTTGGTAGAAAAGAGAGAAAAAGTCATAGGTATATAGAAGAGAAGGGAATGTTTGAGTGAAAATTTAAAGTAGGAGAGTGGGGATGAACGAATTATTCCCTCAGTGGTAACTGCTTTTTCTTAACTTTCTAAAAGAAATAAATGTTTTTTTCTGTCTTTTGTGATTACAGTTTTATTTCTATTCAGGTACTTCGAAAAAACTAAAAGGTTTCAAGCGTTCGGGTCAAATGCTGAAGCGCTTGTGCATCTACTCGAAAGTGGCAAAAGTGCAAGCCGTTAGAGAATTGTTGGAACGAGCTTTGTTCAGAAGCGACAATGTACTATTCGGCACCAAACACATTGTCCTAGACGAGGATGAAGAAAGGGAAGAATCGCTTTTGCAACAAAACAGAAACATTGTAAGGATATTTTAAAATTCTATCCATCAACTAAACTAAATATCTTGACATAAATTCTCACTTTTTTTGCAGAATAAAACCATTCCACTAACCAAACATTCTACGGTATTCAACGGCGGCATCATCGGCACAGGCAAACGTAAAGCGCGAATTAACAACGAAGTGTCAGCGGACGTCGTGGCTGCCAACACTTCCGAACTGATTGGCGTTTTGAAATCGTGCTGCGCTCTGACGGAGGAAAATAAATTTTTGGAAACTTCCTTGGACAGTATGACGCTGCTCTCGCTGACGCTGGTCCAGTTTGTCAGTCCGGACGTGATGTACAACGGATTGCCTTGGCCTGAAGAAGATTTTTCTAAATTGGTAAATGCCTTCTTCAATAATAGTCATGCAAAGAAATTTTCTTACAGCCGTGCGGAAAAATCGATTTTCCGCACTGATATGCGTGCGGAAAATGAGATTTCCCGCACGGTGCGGTAAAACTTTTACCGCACGCATATCAGTGCGGAAAAAGTTTTTCCGCACGCGTCGTTCGGTGAACGGCAGCCGCGTGCGAAAAAATTTATTTTCCGCACTTGTTAGGTAAATAGCTATTTCCTACAGGCGAAAAAATGTAATTTTTTTTTTTTTTTTGACGTATCAGTGCGGTAAAATTTTTTCCGCACTGACAGCCGTGCGGAAAAACTTTTTCCGCACTGATATGTTAAAAAAAAAGTTTTACCGCACCGTGCGGGAAAACTCATTTTCCGCACGCATATCAGTGCGGAAAATCGATTTTATTTACAACCACATACGTAATGTTGACATTTCTGACTTTTCAAAAGTTTGAAAGTGACACTTTTTTGAATTTTACTTTCCACCCGGGTGGAAAGTGGTCCCGGGTGAAAAGTGCTCACTTTCCACCCGGGTGGAAAGTAAGTTCTCATTTCCTAAAATGTTTAAGGCGAGTCCTGCATGTCAAACGTTTTTTTAAATGAGTCAGAACTTGTCAACAAATTTTTAATTTTTTTTTTAGTATTTAGTCGAAATTATAAGGGTTGTAATTGTTGTAAATAAAATAGTATACAAACCTCGGTAGGAAGTTTCATTCCTGTCTCGAAATTATAGTTAACTTCGACGCTTCGCGTCTCAGTTAACTAACTAATCTCTCGACAGTAATAAAACACTTTCCACCTCGGTATGTAATATACTATTTCCGCACGGCTGTAGGAAAAAGTAATTTTCCAAAATTTTCCCTAGAGTGATTTCTCACTGAAAAATTTCGAAATTTTCTTATAATGAACTCCTCACTTTCCTCTTTTTCTTGGAAAATTTTCAAAATTTTCCCTCTGCCAGTTTTCCAGAAAAAAATTAAAATGTAAGAAGTGAATTTTCCTTAATTTTGAATAACTTTGAGTAATTCCTGCATTTTTGGATAATTCCTGTAATTCTCCTATTTTTTTGTAATTTCAGAATATTTTTTGAAATTTTGAATTATGTATACAGGGTGTTCCGAAACTATTGTGCCAAAAATTAAGGGATGATAGATCGTGCCAAAATAAACGTTTTTTACTTATAAACACATAGGCGCATGTGCTTTGGTTATGTGATAATAGAACATTACAGGTCGCGCTGTGTTATAGCCACCTTACACACGGAGAAATGTATTTGAAGCAGAACCTGTGTTATTAAATGATGCAAAACCCAAGGAATGCTTGCAGTATTTACTTAAAACAATGATTCACAGCAAAAGATGCTCAAAGCTACGACCACCCACCTCCATACGTGCGTGACAGCGACGTAGTATAGCCTCCTGAACACGTTGAAAAATTCATGGTGTTTCGAGAATTTCAGCAGCTGCTGCAACAATCCTTCCTTCTAACTTCCTCTAGCTGTTTCAACTGGAGTGTCGTAAACAAAATCTTTCATATGACCCCATGAAAAAAATTCGCATTCCGTCAGGTCTGGTGAACGTGGAGTCCATGCTCCCTTAACAATCACTCTTTCTAGATGTTAATTGAGATGTTCTCTTAAGGCTAACAAGTAATGTGGTGGTGGTGGTCTGTCGTGTTGGTACCCTATGTTTTGTCTGGCATACAGGGAAACAGTTTCGGGAAGGGTTTCCTGCAGAAATCTACTAGATATTTCTGTTACAACGCTGTTACACATGCATTGAGGCGGGTGGTCGTAGTTTTGAGCATCTTTTGATGTGAATCATTATTTTAAATAAATACTGCAAGCATTCTTTGGGTTCTGTATTATTTAATAACACAGGTTCTGCTTATTCAAACACGTTTCTCCGTGTGCAAGGTGGCTAACACAGTGCGGACTGTAATGTACTATTATCGCCTAACCAAAGCGCATGCGCCTATGGGTTTATAAGTAAAAAACGTTTATTTTGGTGAGATCTATCATTCCTCAATTTTTGGCACAATAGTTTCGGAACACCCTGTATAATTCCTATAGTTTTGAATTGATAATTTAAAAAATATAAGAATTGCAAAAATTTCGGAAAATTTTACGAAAATTACAAAAATTGAAATTAGCAGAAATTACAAAAATTTCAAAACTACAAAAAGTTATTAGATTTTTAAAAAATTATAGGAATTAAAAAATTACAAGAATAATTTATTAAAGAATTACAAAGTAACATCTGATAAAGAAACTCTCCGTTGCGATATCGGGTGTTACGTTCAAATTTGCGAACGTGAGCCAAAAGGGTGTTACTTACCTCCATGCATCCGGATATGCGCTCTAAAACCACTTATCCGATTAAGATGAAACTTTGATAGGTTATTATGGCCATCCCAAGGAAGGTTTGTGGATAGGTTACGCATTTCGGAAAAAGAAATTAATTTTGAATTAATTATTAATTTAATTGTAAACAAACTCATTCACATTACATAACAACATAACCCAACTTTTTTTGACAGCATGAAATAACGTTGACATATTTCATTTATTTAGGCTTGCATTCAACCGACGCAACTTTATTAATTTCTGAATTCAAGAACGGCTAAACCGATCTTGAATTAATACCACGTATCTCTATATAAGGTGAATTCGATTGACCCAGGTTAGATCGATTTGGGTTCAATTTAAGTGAACTTCTTCTGATCTAAATCATTTTTTTGTTGATGAGGGTGCACTGATCCAGCTTGAATCGAACACAGTGTGGTTCATTTAAATTGAACCAGATCGGTCTAATCCGGTCAATCGAATCGGCTATAGAGGAGAGTGATATAGGCTATTTTTTATCCCGAAAAAAAAAGTTCGGTTGCGTAAAACTCTGATACACTGGAACGCCTATAAACAGCCTGGGGCGCTCTAGAGCAGCTCTGGAGTGTTTAAAATGCGTCACTGAGCTCACTGGCAAGCGACTCTGATATCGGATTAAAAAAAAAAAGTAAATAGAAAATCAACAACAAAATTTGAAAAGAAGTGTATTATTTCAAAATGTATTTACACGCTGGCAACGCAGCGGGTCATTAGCTGGTATAAGATAAAAACCGTATATTTTAAGGTAAGTCTTGATTTTAACAATAATAATTGCGAACGTGCTTGTTCATACCCAAAGGCCTAAATCAGAAAAAATAATTATTTTAATTTAAATTTCGCAATATCCTTGGCAATATCTTAGTTCCAAGTCGTCCGCAATTGGCAGCGCCAACCAAGGATTGAGCGCGCGCGACGAGGATATTCATTCGGTTCTGTAGAGTTCAACAGCAGTGGCGTAGCCAGGATTTTGCCTTGGAGGGGGCAAATTTGCAGGAAGTGTTTCTTGTGGCCCCACCGCGACCGCTGCCGGAGGCAAAGCGCCGCAGGCGCGAAATATTTGGGTGCCACGCCCTTTTTTTAGGTTTTTTTACACTATTTTTGCGACTGTTTATTTTAATTTTGAAGAATTATTCATAAAATTTAAGGGTCTTGGGGGGGGGGCAAATGCCCCCTTGCCCCCCCCTGGCTACGCCAGTGTTCAACAGTAAACGTTATATTTTTCTTTGTAACGAATATTTCCTAGTTTGTACAATAAACCATCAAAATAAGTTTATCATCTTATTCATCAGCAATTCATACAGTCCACTATCAACCAGATATAGTGCTCTATAAATTAATCAACGAGAAAAACTTTTTTCTAAATTATGACGTCATCGATGACGTAAGTAAGTACAAAAAGTGCAAGAAAATACATAAAATAATTTGGTTGCACTAATTTCTTATATAAGTGTTAGGTAGTGCTATGGTGGGATGCCGAATAGGAGTTCAAATGAGGTATGTGACTATGTGAGGGTTCTCGAAAACCTTTCTCTGGCCTGAATGCTCCGGTAGATAAAGTAGGTTTAATCTATATGGTTCAAAAATAAATTTATTTTTTTCCTCGCTACAGAATGGCAATTTTATGATGTGTTTGTCAACTTTCCTGTTCCGTTAATAAAAATTATAATTTAAGAATTGATGTTTGTTTGTTCCTCTGTGTCCAGTGTTGTTCAAAGGGCACAATTGTGCCAAAAGTGGCACTTTTCGCCCGCAAAATGCACAGTGGCACCACTTTGAAAAATTTGGCACAATTCACATCTATTAGATAATATTATCCTTTTTCAAATTTTTAAGATGAGAAAGACTGCTGGAGCAGGATTTTTTGTTTATTTCTATTCTATTGTATTATTTGTCAATTTATTTCTGTGCTAGTGACCTCAGTCTTGACCTGTGAGAATTGTGGTGGATCTGTCAGGTCCAATGAGTAAAACCGAATTTTCGCGACGAACCATAGTTCGTCTCGTGACGTCATAAGTTTGAACGCTGGCTAGAAGCTGCTTCCATAATTCTGTTCAACTATGTTCAATATGACGTCATGAGTTATCCGCGAAAGCGTTTGTGTTCATGAAATTATGGAAGTATTTCGTCGCGAAAATTCGGTTCATGTCATGTCATTGAATCGGTCGATGTGAGTCTGATTAGTGACAGTGACGTGACTGTCAATTGTCATTACACTGAATTTATTATATGAAATATATTACATCTTTCTCCTTTTAATCATGTAATAAAAAGAAATGGGTGAAAAGTCAAAAAAATCCTCTCCCATCACTTTTTATTAGGTGGCACTATTTGGCACTATTTGAGTGTTGCTGCAGGCACATACGAAAATTCCCCAAGAACAACCCTGTCTGTGTCTGTGTTGTGGAATGCTTTATGCGGTATTTTTTGACATGAAACGCTCTTGTTGGTAAAAATAGCCTGTGAAGAAGACCAAATGCATGGTCGAAACGTCGGCATAATTTTTTTCAGAAAGGGAGGTTTATTTTTTATTTTTGAAGTCCTAAACCCATTATCTCTGCTCTATCGTTGGATGTTATGTATATTTTAAAAATTTGGTGTAAATTTTTTTCAAGACTATCAAGACCAAGACCAAGACTGTTAAGATCAAAACCAAGACTGAGCCAGTCTTGTCTTGGTCTTGGTCTTGCGAAGCCCTAACCCTGTATAAGAATTAATGATAATTTAATACGCTGTAAAATTAAAACAAAAGAAGTGGATGTAAGTATTATCTTTTTGTTTTAAGGTACCTATATTATTATGTAAATTCATAGGCGCAACTAGGCTCTAAATTTGAGGATCACCATTTTTTTTCTTGGTGGGGTTTGATAGAAAGGAAATGACGTGCGTGAAAAAAAAATAGTTTTACGACGGTGTGTACTTACGTCATCATTTGCCTTCCTTTTTTGAAAAATAAGAGGGAATTTTTGGCGCTGTAACCACATAACATTTTAACTTGTAGTTACATCATACCATATTTTCTTTAACTTATAGTTACCTCCATACCACATTTTCTTGAGTCCAATCCTTACAATGACGTCAGTGATGACGTTTAACATACTATAATAGGTAACTAAAGTCTGTTTTTTTTTTAAGATAATTTCCCAATAAGTCAAAAATTTAGTAACTATGTTGGCAACACAAGCCTTTTCTGCATAAAAAAATTGAAAGCATTGACAATTTTACATTGTATTGTCAACATAATGTCATTTTGACATTTATCTTAAAAAAAAAACCGACTTTATCTCCCTGAGGGCCAAATTATGGACCAACTGGTAAGTGTCTGGTTGTTACCTAGCAGGTATTTTCTATTCTCTAGTGCATAGAAAGTCCCTGCTAGGTAACAACCAGACGTTTACCAGTCAGTCCATAATTTGACCCTGAGATGGTTACCCCGTTGTCCCCGTTTTCTATCTCTGTTCATCTAATACCAATAAGTGAGATGATTGGATTGGATAAGAAGTGAACAAAAAAAGTGAGATTAGGAACTGTTTTGGAATTTAAGTTGTTTGCATGTTATTTGTCGTTATTCGTCCATTTTCCATTAAATTCCTTGGATTTCATTATTCTTTGTAAATATTAATTGAACATGAAAATGGAAAATAACTAAAAAAATCGATATCACGATACCGAAAGACCCAAATCTTCATAGAAGAATGGCATTCTTATATGAACTTATGAACATCATCAAATAATAACAATAGCCGAATTTTCGATATATTTATGCTTGATATAAATGAACCCTATGTGGCCATTGATGAAAAGTCTTCCGTTCTCCATAAAGCAGTTTTAGCATAAGTTCAGCCTTTTAGAGGCCAACATCGTATTTGTTTCGTTAAACTTGTATATTTTATGACGTTTTAAATAATTTTTCTAGGAAAAACAACTCAAGAATGTCACACAGCACAAATGAAAAACAAACCAAAAAAACAACAGACAGTCAATATTTCTTTTTTCAAAATGTCACTTGTCACCGTTAAAAGATACCATGACGTCATTGTATGATCATACCTAGTAAGTTGTGGTTACTTCGCAAAAAAATCCCTAAGTTTTTTATCTCTGAAATTTCAACAAACATATAGTTCGTTGTACGAGGGGGTTTGTACTTACGTCATCGATGACGTCATAACTTGGAAAAAAGGGTTTGTCGTAGATTAATTCATAGAGCACGTTCGGAATTATTGTTTTGTAATAAAATATTTAACTTAGAATAGAGTTAGTTGCGTTAAAATGACCTAGTAAGGTTCGAGCATCAAAGGACCATAAAATTATTCGTAATTGATTGCACAAGGAGTCTTCAAAACATGTACATTTTCAGGTAAAAGAAGATCGCAAGGCGGTGGTAAAAGAGATGTGAAAAGGCGCTATGCGCCTCATTCGATCAGGCAATGCGTCGAAAGCAATATTGGATTGGGAGCAAGAAAGTTTACAAAATAAGAAGAATTTGTTTTATAAAAATATTTTATGTTCTTTATTTGTTTAACGTCTTCATTCGTATAGTAGCGTATAGTATGCATTTGTATTTAGGTTTCTAAAACTGCTTTTTTTCGAAAAATATACACTCTTTTATTGTTTTTATGTCCTAAATTACGAACGCACAGTATAATTTATATTAATATAACAATATTAATTATATTTTCCACTTATATACTCATGTTTTGATATTTCAATGCCCCAAAATAATTATTTACAAAATGGTAATAGGCTTAATAACGAGGGTAAGTAACACCCGATAAAGCGCACGTCCATGCAACCACGGGTGTTACATTTCAAAAACCGAACCGTTGTCGAATGGATTACCGAATGCTAAACAGGATGTTACTTACCTCCATGCGGCCCGGAGCTGGGTTGATACGCCACTGTCTAGATCTACCTCAAAAATAGCATTTGGAATCGGCTGTTGCTATGTATGACATGGCATGATCTTTTTCGATGTGTAAATTTGAAGAATAATCGTCAGGAGTTTGATGAGAGAACGCGGCATTCATATTTGAATAAAAAAGTATTAATATAGGATTCGGAATGACGTTAAGCCATTTCAAGTAGGTACTGAATGCTCGTGTTACGTTCAAAGAACAATGTTCCAAAAGTATCTGTCTTTTATTGACCTAAATCTATTCCTGTAAAATCTAGAATACACACGATAATCATATTTTCCTGAATTAAGTAGAATAATTCGCTAGATTCTAGTATACTCAAGAGATAATACCGAGATATTGTTGACTGCCTGGCGAATCGTTACAATATACAGTACAGAACATATTTCTATATTCAACAGTATAATTTTTTTTGCATCGGTAAATGATAACATTTCATTACATTTTCAGGTTACAATGGAACGCGATCTGGCAATAAGAAAAATGTTCACCGACACGCCGCTCCTGTGGGATTTGCTCAGTTTCGTGGCCGTGCACCGGCCCGCTTTGTGTTACTGTTCGGTGCTGATCCGCGCCCTGACGGCGACGCTAATTCACCAGTGGAAAAGTATGGGCGACGAGGGCGGCGAAGGCGGAAACAAGAACTACAAAATCTTATTGGATACTACCGTCAAAGTTGTCAGTATAATGGCTCTGGGTCAGTTGTTGCCGCCGCCGTTGAGCAATATCGGAGATGTTTTACCTCATTTGAGGTGTTTGGAGGTAAGATTTTGATAATTATAATTTGGAATCTCTAGACAAGAGAGTAGACAGTAGACAGTGGCGTATCAACCCAGCTCCGGGCCTGTGTGCCAAAATTTTTGCGTGCCCATCACAAACCCCCCGCCGAAGGCTAAATTTTTTTTTGAATAACCCAATCTAACCCAAATTTCGACCCAAAAGTCGTTCAAAAAACACTCCTTAAATTTTTTATTAGGTATTTTTATTTAAACGTTGAATTGTGAATTCACCATTTTCAAAAGTGGTATGAATAATTATATCCTGTTCACAATCCGATGTCCACAGGTGCAGGTGAATTTATCACCATAGGCGCAACTAGGGGAATGTTTGGGGGTGCTAAGCACCCCTAAAGCAAAAATTAGCACTCCTATTCGGCATCCCACCATAGCACTACCTAACACTTATATAAAAAATTAGTGCAACCAAATTATTTTAGTTTTTTTGCAGTTTTTGTACTTACTTACGTGATCGATGACGTCATAATTTAGAAAAAAGTTTTTCTCGTTGATTAATTCATAGATGACGTTCGCAATTATTATTGTTAAAATCAAGACTTACCTTAAAATATACGGTTTTTATCTTATATTAACATTTAGAATGACGTCATCGAACAAGGTCAGACAATGTTGTCTATGTCTATGTTTATTCTATATCTTAAGGTGACATTGAAATACCGACTCTTAAAAAATCATTGGAGTCCCAAATATATAAATTAATTAACTGCGTATTATACAGGGTGTTCTTAAATATCATGTACAAACGACAAAGGGTGATTCTTTTTTTTTACGACTGAAATTTCAAATATGTTTTTACTTATTTAAGCAATTAAAAAAAATTCACCCTCTTACATTTTAATTTTTTTCTAGAAAACTTGCAAAGAAAAAATTTTGAAAATTTTCCAGGAATAAGAGGAAAATGAGGAGCTCATTTTACGAAAATTTCAAAATGTTCCAGTGAAAAATCACTTCAAGAAAAAATCTGAAAAATTGACTTTTTCAAGTAAAATAAGGGAAAATTCACCTTTTACATTTTAATTTTTTTCTGCAAAACTTGCAAAGAGAAAATTTTGAAAATTTTCCAGGAATAATAGGAAAATGAGAAGCTCATTTTACGAAAATTTCAAAATTTTTCAGCGAGTTTTTCAGTAAAAAATTAATCCAGGAAAAATTTTGAAAAACTTACTTTTCAGCAAAATTAAGGAGAATTCATCCTCTTACATTATAGAAAAATTTCAAAATTTTCCAGTCAAAAATCACTCCAGGAAAAATTTTGGGAAATTGACTTTTTTAGGCAAAATTCACCCTCTTACAACCAGGAAACTGGCAAGAAAATTGTGAAAATTTTCCAGAAAAAGAAGAAAATAAAGAGCTCATTATAGCAAATTTTGTAATTTTCGAAGACTGGTAATTTCCGTAATTTTTCTTTAAAAATTTTTTAATTCCTGTCATTTCTCAAATAATTCTTATAATTTTTTTATTAATTCCTGTTGTTCTTCAAATTTTCGTAATTTTTTATTTCCCGTAGTTTCTCAGAAAATTCCGTTATTTTTATGATTCCACGTTTTTGTATATTTCAAAAATTAGTAGGTAATTCCCGTAATTTCCGTATTTTTTTCTGGAAATTTTTCAAAATCATTTCCCGAAAGCCTTTGTGATTTCTAATTCTCGTATTTCCCGTAAATTTTTCGTAATCCCCGTAATTTTTTATAATTCTCGTAACTTTGATAGTTTTGGTAATTTTCAATTGTCGTAATTTTTTAAATTTCTTGGACGTTTTTTAAAATTTTATAATTTCCCGGTCTTTATAATTTTTGTAATTGTAATTCCTGATTCTTGTAATTTTTGTTATTTTCTTACTTTTTGAAAATCGTCATAGGTTTTTTCGATTTTTGCAATTTGTTAATAAATTTCCGTGATTTATTTCCAGAATTTTCGTAACTTTTGTAACTTTCTGCAATTCTCGTAATTTTCGTTAATTAACAAATTCCTTAATTTTTGTGTTATTTCCGATATATATATTTTTTTTTTCAATTTTTCGTAATTTCCGTAATTTTTGCAATTCCTATAATTATTCTGATTGTCCTAATTTTTTTTATTATTTTCCTAATTTCCGTAATTTTTTATGATTTTCGTGATTTCTGTTATTTTTTTAATTCCCGTAATTTCTTTATTTTATTTTTCAATAATGATAATTCCCGTAAGTTTTTGAAATTTCTCTTATTTATGAAATTCTCGTGATTTCTATTATTTTTTCGTAAAACGTAGTTTCCAATAACTTTTTGCAATTCTACGGAATTTTTGAAATTCGCGTAATTTTTTTCAATAATTTTCATTGTTTTCCGTAATACTCGATTTTTTTTCTAATTTCATAATTCTTCTCTCAGTTTTTTTGATAATTAATGTAATTTCTATGATTTTTTGAAATTTTTGTGATTTTTGTTAATTTTTTTACATATTACGTAATTTTCGAGGGGTAAACCACTCTGCGCAATACTGTCACAAATCGCGCGAAATCCCTGCGCAATCATGTGAAATCGTGCGAAATCAGGCGAAATCGGGCGCAATCTTTGCGAAATCGCCAGCAATCCCGCGAAATCACTTAACTTTGCGAAGTCGGAGCCTCGTTCAAATGCGGAATTTCAAGGCTGACCAATCAGAACTATTCAAAGAAATTGGCGGGAAACTTGCTTCTGACTTTTGTAGTCGTAATAATCGGTGTGTAAACGATTTTATAATTATTATGTGTCACCAGTGTCCGTATCAGTTATTAGACACTTTAAGTTAGACAAAATACGTTAACGCTAACGTAAGATTTGACAGCTGCGCATGCGCAGTTTCTTTTCACCAAAAATAGCGTGTTACGTGTGACGTTATTAGAGAGATATCGGTAAAACAGATAGCGCGTATGGACGGTAATAACGTCAGGAGTTATTTTTTTAAAGTAAAGCGGTATCATACTTTCAAATTAGAGTTATCGGAAAACAGTTTAACGTAAAATTTGCCTGTTAGCATCCGTTATTTTAGAACCGTAGCCTAACTTGTACCTTGTTTTGATTTGATTAGTGTTGTCTGTTGAAAATGGTCAGGGACAGATGATTTGCTTTTCTACTATTTTTTAAACAATCCATATTCACTTGAACACAACAAAAATAATAAAATAAACAATAAACATAACATAACCTATTATTCCACGGCGTTATTTTTAGACGTTATTCGAAATAGCGCTTAACGTAAATGCTGGGTAAATTACGTTATGCGGTAACGTGATTTCAGTACGTAGTGTTAAAAATCGAATCGCGCATAGGTTTAATGTCAAAACAACGTAGGCGCTAATACTGCATGACACTATTTGGGTTACCGATATCTCTCTATTTAGCGGGTCTTTACGTGTACCTTATACGTAAACGTTCGTTAAACCGAGTGGTCCCGAAAGCCAGATTACCGGTGTCGACCTTTGCCGAATGTATTTTCACCTTAAAAAAAAGTTGTCACATAATTCAAAATAATCAAAATACAAAAAAGTATTTCTAATTTGTCCTTTTCACAACAAAATTTAAAGGTTAGGTTATGATTGTGAGATATAGCGTTAACGTTTACATGAAAATTTAACTTAAACTGGTTTGTGAGCACCGACACGGTCACTCGACGCTATAGTAAAAAATAGGGTTTACGTTTAAAGATTACGTTAACGTGTTTGGTCCAACTTAAAGTGTCTATTGAGTGATTGATTTTCAAAATTATCATATACAGTGTACATATCTTGCTTTTCATGAATACACCCCGATATCTCAGTTATTAATAATGCAATTTCATTCAAATTTTGGTGGTGATTGTATGTTAGAAAAATGAACTATTTGACATAGTATCTAAACATTTTCATTTACCATTGGCGTGCGGTGTTGAGGATTAAAAAGTGGTTGTATTTTTGTGAGAAAGATATTAGAGCTTATTTTAGATAATTTTTCGCATCAGATTAAGAATCAGCATCCCTAAAAACCCCTGAATTCGTATGAATTTTGGAAATATTTCCAAAATCTCAAGAGATTCTGTAATTTGAGGTTCACAATTAGAAAAAAACAACTTATTCCAAAAAGTGAATTGATATCAGAGCTGGGCAAGCTACTTGGAAAAAGTAGCTAGCTACAAGCTACAAGCTACTTTATATTGTAAGTAGCTAAGTTACTCAGTAGCTCAACTACCTCTTTGAAAAAGTAGCTAAGCTATTAGTAACTTAACTACATTTTGAATTAGTGAAAGCTACTATTTAAGCTACTTTTATCAATGGACATGCCTTACCTAATTTAATTTCATAATATCATCATACAAAAATAACATATTAACTTTCTCTAAGAAGTAGTATTCATATTTTTGTCAAAAACCACTGGACATTAATTTATTAGGTTCACTTTGATCACAGTGATCTGCGAATGCGAGAATATAATAGGACACATAAAACATAGGTACCTACAGAGATAACTAGAAACTAGTCTAAGCAAGGCAGGATAAGAATTTTCCAGAAAATGATAATAATTGTAGCTTGAGGAATTAAAGTATAAAGTTACTTTTATCAAGCGGTAAATTCAAACGCGGGCAATAGGTTGGTGGAAACGTGCCTTTATAAGGAGAAAACTGTTTATTTTTGAAAACAATGTCGAATGGATGCCATTATATTATAGGTATAGTTATTTTATTTTTGAACTAGAAGAGTCCGCTGCGCATAAAACGTAATAAGTATTTTGGGCGTTGAGTATCGTTAACCACACCCTCGGGCGGTAAATGACACTTTCTGCCATTAATACCTAAATAACTATTAACTATCTACCAAAAGTAGCTTGTTTTAGTAGCTAGCTACTTTTCACAGTAGCTTATGAATACTTGAAACACATTACCAAAAGCTACAGCTACAAGCTACTTTTTTTTTCAAAGTAGCTTGAATAAGTTATTAGCTACCAAAAAAGTAGCTAAGCTAGTAGCTTAACTACT